GGTGGTCTGAGCAGCTTCATTAGAGCTAAGACTTGAGTGTCAAGAAGGGCGCGTTTGTGCACAGACTTGGGAACAGAGCATTCTCAGTGGTGGCAGCAGGGATCAAAGGCTTGGAGTGGGGCTCCATGAGTCTCCATGGTGGTGTAGAACCAGGTGGGCGGGGGTTAAACCGGGAGGGTTGTGAGGGCTGTGGTGAGGAATTGGGATTTCACTCTGAGAGCCACAGGAAGTCCTTGGAAGTGGGCCACATTGGATGTGCTCACATGTGTGAGTGTGACTAGGGGGCGTGAGGGAGAGCCGTTGTGGCTGGAAATGTGGGGATGTTGCACAGGTAGAGCTGATGAGCCCTGCTGGGGAAAGTGGATTCAGAATAGCTTCAGCAGCTTTCTGTCTGTGAACAGGACCTGTTTCCATGCAGCCCCTTCTCTCTTTCAGGGTAGGTTTTCTTGCATGCAACTCAGTCACTTCCCTCGGCCCTTCCTTTCTCCTCTGTTCTCAGCAGCATGGCAGAACAGGATGTGGAAAATGAGCTTCTGGATTATGAAGAAGATGAAGAGCCCCAGGCTCCTGCAGAGAGCACTCCAGCTCCCCCCAAGAAAGATGTCAAGGGATCTTACGTTTCCATCCACAGCTCTGGCTTCCGGGACTTTCTACTGAAGCCAGAGCTCCTGAGGGCCATAGTGGACTGTGGCTTTGAGCATCCATCTGAGGGTAAGTCTCCCTGATATTAGGTCCTCTCACCAAGACCAGCTCTGCCTGCCCAGAGTGGCACTGCCTCCAGTCTGCTCTGTATGATGGAGGTGTCTGCCTTCCCTGTGGGTCACTTATACCCAGTTGGGGCCCGTGGCACCATACATGTCCAGCAGCTGCTCTTTGCAGTGTGGCACTCTGCTTTGGCCAGGAGAACACCCTAGACCCACAAGTGTCTGGCCTGGCCCTGGACTTGGCCTCTTTTGCTACCCTCCCTGTGGGTCCCTCAGCCAACTGGTGAGGATCCTGCATGAGGCGGCATCCAGTTCCTGGTCACTCACACTCTCTTTCTCTCTCAGTCCAGCATGAGTGTATTCCCCAGGCCATCCTGGGCATGGACATCCTGTGCCAGGCCAAGTCTGGAATGGGCAAGACAGCAGTCTTTGTGCTGGCCACCCTGCAGCAGATCGAGCCCGTCAATGGACAGGTGGGTGGCCTTCCTCTCCTCCCGGGCCCAGACTACCAGAGGCAGCAGGTGCCATAGCTCCCCTTGGTAAAAATTTCTGTTCCTACTTTCTCTTGGTGGACCTTTAAAATTAAGTGTAGCATTTGGTTTAACAAAATTAGAAAATACCAATTGGCCAAAAGAGCTGAGAAGTGCCCACGATTTACCCCTCAGAGGTATTGCTGTTTCAATGTTTTCTTTCCTGGATAGTATGTATTTACAAAGGTGGAATTATACTTAACACAATTGTCACTGCTGTCATTGCTTATGGAACACAGCTATCTTCTCATGTTGTCAACATTGTATTCCATTGTCTTGGGGAATAACTTAGGTGAATTCCAGTATTTTGCTCTTAAGAGTCTTACTGGGGCATGCATCTTTGGGTTGCACAGTGGTATCTGTGCCCATATTTTCTTAGGATGAGGATCCTTTACATCATGAAGGATGAGGACTTAGTGGGAGGCTGTGGTATGTCACAGTGTTTGGCATTGTAGGTGGGAAGGTGGGGCAGCCCAACAGCAGAGACTCTGGAAGTCATTAGAGAGCATGGGGCTGTGCCACTTGGGCTAGGCTGTGTCTGACCGTTAGCCAGACCATCCTCCATTGTTGGCATTACTGCAGGTCCTGGTGTCAGGAGACCAAGGCCTTGGTGGGGGTGTAGGGAGTGAGGGGTGGGTGCAGGGCTGTGAGGCAGTAGAGGCATTTGGACCCAGCCTTCAAATGGTTCAGGGTATGGGGAGCAGTGTGGTAGGTGTCCTTATCAGGTGAGGACTGGATGTCAGGTGGGGACAGTGGAGAGGAGGGGAAGATTCAGGACACTGCCTTAAGGACCTTTCTCTTGCCCTCTCCATAGGTGACAGTCCTGGTCATGTGCCATACAAGGGAGCTGGCCTTCCAGATCAGCAAGGAGTATGAGCGCTTTGCCAAGTACATGCCCAGTGTCAAGGTGAGCCTCCTTGGGTTAGGTGCCATGTGGTCTTCTGTAGCCTTGCTGGCCTCGGCTCTGGCCCAGCCAGCATTTACCAAGCTTGGCTGCGGCAGTTGCCTTTGAGGTTTGCGGTGGTTTATGCTCCTTAAAAGGCTGATGAATTATGCATGGCCCCAGGGGTCTGTGCCAGTCCCAGCCTGGGGCTGCCTTTCAGTGGAGCTGTGGCCAGGCTCTCAGGCCTCTGCTATTCTGAGGCACCAGGGCTGGGGTGTTGGGTGCCCTCAGGGCTGCTGGGGCCTGTGCCAGCATGGAGTGGGGTGCAAGCCTGCAGTTCCCAGGTGGGTGGAAGCAACTTTTTCTCCATCCCCTAGGTGTCTGTGTTCTTTGGAGGTCTCTCCATCAAGAAGGATGAAGAAGTGTTAAAGAAGAACTGTCCCCATGTCGTGGTGGGGACACCAGGCCGGATCCTGGCACTTGTACGGAACAGGAGCCTCAATCTGAAGAATGTGAAGCACTTTGTGCTGGATGAGTGTGACAAGATGCTGGAGCAGCTGGGTGAGTGTCTCCACCAGGCCTGTGGGGCTGCCAGAGGCCCACCTAGCGCGTCCTCCCCCCCTTCACAGCCCCCCAGACTTCAGAGCCAGCTTCTAGGTGTGCCCTGACAGAACAGGTCGATGGCTTCTAGAGGGGGTCATGTGGGTGGCCAGCATACAGGTCTACTGGTAGTGATGTTAGGGAAAGTTTTATTGTTGGCTGAGTGTGACGTGATTCTTCTGAGCCCAAGCTGATGGGACCTCATGGCCCACGTGAGCCACCAGCCCTGCCTGGACACGTAGGTGCACATACACGTACCTGTAGTCTAGGAGTGTCGCCGCCCCTGCCTGCCCTCAGCAAGCCCCAGCAGAGCCAGTGGGAGATGGGGCTTGTGTCCTGGGAGGCAGCTACAGCTCTCACCCCAGCGGCTATCTCTGCCTCAGGCTCCCCTCCCTGAAGTGTGGCTCGAGGCGCACGGGCGCGGCTGCTACACTCTGGCGGCGTGTAAGTGGACTGCAGCTCTTCCCGCGCCGCCGGCGCTTGCTGGCCCCGAGCCCAGCCCCTAGGGCACCTGGGACTCACCCTGCCCTCCACTCCCTCAGCTCACACTGCCCTTGTCATGGTGCCACTGGCTCCCTGGCACAGGGTGGGAGGGGTCTGGGTCTGGTTTCGGGTGGGGTCATGGTCTGGCACCCACTCATGCCCACCTGTTTCTTGCCTTCCCCACCTAGACATGCGGCGAGATGTGCAGGAGATCTTCCGCCTGACCCCCCACGAGAAGCAGTGCATGATGTTCAGTGCCACCCTGGGCAAGGAGATCCGACCAGTCTGCAGGAAGTTCATGCAGGATGTGAGTAGGGCCAGACCCCAGCCTGCCCACGGTGCGGCAGCTTGGCCCTCCTTGCTCCATGGCACAAAGGATGCTGGGAGGCCGGCAGAGCCTCCCTCCCTCCCCTCAGTCTTGTCAAACAGGGAGCTGAGTCGGGTCCACACCTGAGCCAGACCAGAGCTTACATCCAGCTTTTACTAGAGAAATATTTACAGAGGTTGGGACAGCAGGCCCTTTGGGGAGCATCGCAACAAAGGAGTCACTCGCTAGAAGGTTCTAGGCAGATGAGATGCCCAGAAGTGAGTCCTGCTCGCCCCTTGCTGCTTTCCTTCCCGCACAGCCCATGGAGGTGTTTGTGGATGACGAGACCAAGCTCACACTGTATGGACTGCAGCAGTACTACGTCAAGCTCAAGGACAGCGAGAAGAACCGCAAGCTGTTCGATCTCCTGGACGTACTGGAGTTTAACCAGGTGATGCTTCCACCAGCCTATCGCAGGGTTCTGGGTCTTTGGGAGGATAGTGCGTGGGGACTCTGTGGCCCTGACTGTCGGTCACTCCCTCGCAGGTGGTGATCTTTGTCAAGTCGGTGCAGCGCTGCATGGCCCTGGCCCAGCTCCTGGTGGAGCAGAACTTCCCGGCCATCGCCATCCACCGGGGCATGGCCCAAGAGGAGCGGTGAGTGCATGCCACCCGCGAAGGCTGGAGGGAACACCGCCCAGGAGCCCAGTGTCTGATGGCCTCCACTTGTCTCTCCTGCACCCAGCCTGTCACGCTATCAACAGTTCAAGGACTTCCAGCGGCGGATCCTGGTGGCCACCAATCTGTTTGGCCGAGGGATGGACATTGAACGAGTCAACATTGTCTTCAACTATGACATGCCCGAGGACTCAGACACCTACCTCCACCGGGTGAGCAGCCCCACCCTAGTGTCCACCTCCCAGGATGGTGGTGGGGTGGGGCCCTGGCCCTGCTTATCTTGAAATCCTGAGGTATCTGTGGCCTGACCCTGATCCTGTCTCCCTGCAGGTGGCCCGTGCGGGTCGCTTTGGTACCAAAGGCCTGGCCATCACCTTTGTGTCGGATGAGAATGATGCCAAAATCCTCAATGATGTCCAGGACCGGTTTGAAGTGAATGTGGCAGAGCTTCCAGAAGAAATTGACATCTCCACATACAGTAAGTGGCTGGGCAAGGATCCAGGGTCTGGGACAGGGGACCCTCCCCTGCTCCCTTTGCTCACTGTCCTCCTCTGTGTCTTGCAGTTGAGCAGAGCCGATAACCACATGCTTCAGTGGCCCGGAGCCGCCCTGCTTCCCACATGCTGCTTCACATCCCCTTTCTAGACACCAGATGGGTCTCTCTTTATGTTCAAAAGTTGTAGATTTGTGTAAGAATAAATTTTTATTATGGAAGCCTGGCTCCCACCCCATATGCTTCTTGGTCGTCTGTCAGCATTTCATGGACACCGTGGGCCTTTGTCTAGCCAGAGAATCCCCACCAGGGATCAACACCACTTTCTCTATCAGTATAATATTTAATTTTAAGTGTCTACACTGAAAGTTTTATACAGATAAAAACACTTTACACAACATCCACAACCTTCAAAACAGTGAGAACCCCCTGACTCCCAGGCGGGAGCAGGCAGACAAGTCTCTGTACCGTCAGCCTCAGGCAGTGTCGAGAGGGGCCCTGCCCTTCTCTGGGCCTCTGATACCAGTCTTAGCTTGAAGGGGAGATTGAACCCTAGCACCCTGGCCTTTCCTGTTCTGTAGCAAAGGCAGATGAGGGGAAAGGGCCAGGCTCAGGGATGAGCCCTCAATCTGTCCCCACTACTAGCTGCATGTACCAGGGCAATGGGCTGCTACCCTGGGCCAGCTCCTGTCCCCACCCTGGGTCACAGCAGGGGTTGGGCAGAGAGAAGCAGCAGGAAGGACCAGTGGCTCCGACTCTCTACCCTGGCTGGGTGTTCTGGGGTTTGGTGCCAGGCTATGGCTGTCACCCCCACTCTGGGGCACACGGGGCCCAAGGAGGGAGGACAGAGAGCAGGGGGTGTGGAGAGGAGAGGACAGTCTTCAGCATGTGCAAAAGCTGCTGAGGCCACAGGAGCTGCTGGCCTGGCCGGAACCACACCTTCACAGGCCGGACTCTGAACTCCTGAATGCCTGGAGAGGACAACCCTATGAGGCCTGAGCCCCTGCCCTGGGGCCTTCCCACCCACACCCCACCCCAGGCACAGCCCCTTACCCGACTCTGATTTTGGCTGGTGCTAAAGGTGGATGAGGCGAACTCCGAGTACTTGTTCCCAGCCAGCATGCAGGCCCACCTCCGGTACTCCTCCCTGACCTGCGGGCCCAGGGTGCCAGGTCAGGGGAGGAGCAGGCCCCAGGACTGTGGAGCTCCCGCCCCTGCAGCTGCCCTCAGCCCCACCTTCTTGTTGAGCAGGCAGTGCAGCACGTAGAGGAACAGGCCCTGCAGGCAGTTGAGGATGGTGAAGGTGTAGGACAGGACCCAGCTGTGTGGGTTGAAGAGGAAGAGCCCAAAGACCCAGGTGCAGCCTAACACAACGAGCTGGGCGATGGCGGTGATGGTCAGCATCCTGGGGGGGGCAGTTGCAGTGTGGGCGTTCCTCTTCTGCCTGCCACCCCTCTCCCTCCTTCCCCCCTCAGTCCCTCCTCTCACCTTGCCTTCTTCAGTTTCTTCATTTCTGGATTGATGTCAGAAAACTTCTGAGTGAGCTTCCAGACAGTAGTCACGAAGATAACAGCATTGCACTGGGCAGGGAGCATAGAGTGTGATTAGAGGGCCAGGAGAGAGGGCCTAGCGGGGCTCAGTGGGGCCACGGTGCTCAGGTTTTCGGGGTGGGGGGTGGGGTGGCCAGTTACCAAAACGATGAAGATCACAGGTCCCAGGAAGCTCCACAGGAAGCCACGGGCTGGGTCCAACCAGCAGCTGGAAGAGAAGAGTGGGCTCCCATCAGCACCCCAGAGTAGAGCAGTAGGAAAGCAGGGCAACGTGTGTGGCGGTGCCTGTGAGCCGCGGGCCTGTCACCCTGGCCCTCCTGTTGCCCCCACTATGCCACACTCACTAGATGGCACGGCCGTAGCCCTGGCTGTTGAAGGCCGCGGAGACGGCCACGATGATCAGGGGCACGCCGTAGCCGACGAAGCAGAGGCCGCGCGTGCTCAGGCCCTGGCCCTGGAACACGCGCACCACGAGGAAGTAGAGCTCCAGGCCTTCCAGGCTCATCCAGCAGAAGGCGGCCAGGAAGCAGTAGTGCAGCAGCCCGGCCACCAGGCGGCAGCGCAGCCCCACCTGCGGGGCGGTGGGGGCGGGCGGTGTCAGAGGCAGTCCCCGGCTGGAGCTCTCGGGTGGGCGTGGCTACTCGGGGAGGGGCGGTGCTAGGCTCTGAGGGCCCGCCCCCGTATAATGTATGCTATACGAAGTTATTACGACTTGGGAACAGAGCATTCTCAGTGGTGGCAGCAGGGATCAAAGGCTTGGAGTGGGGCTCCATGAGTCTCCATGGTGGTGTAGAACCAGGTGGGCGGGGGTTAAACCGGGAGGGTTGTGAGGGCTGTGGTGAGGAATTGGGATTTCACTCTGAGAGCCACAGGAAGTCCTTGGAAGTGGGCCACATTGGATGTGCTCACATGTGTGAGTGTGACTAGGGGGCGTGGGCCTTTTGCCTCCAAAGCCAGCGCCCTAAAGGGACACCTCACCACGGTGGGCGGTGCCGCACACTTCCAGGGCGGGTCCACCTCACCCATCTAGCCCCTGGAGTAGGCGGGGCTACCCCACTCCTAGGCCTCGTTGATCAAGGGCTCAGGTGAGAGAGGGGCGGGGTCTTACCTGGCCGCCTTCGTTCTCGATGCCGGCCAGGAAGATAGCGGAGCCCACGAAGAGGCAGATGCAGAGATGCAGGTGCACGGTGGTGCGCGAGCCCTGGATGGGCCGCACCAGCAGGAAGGTGAGGATGCACAGCAGCAGGCAGACCAGCGAAAGCACCAGTCCCACCTTGGTGATCAGGGCCAACTTCGGGTCCTAGGAGCAGAACAGGGTGGGCGAGGTTTGAATAGGGCCCTGAGGCCTTACTGCCCTTGTGGTCTTTCTTTCCAACCCTCTAACGGGCTCACTTCTCTGACCTCTTCTTCTGCCCCTCCTACACCTGGCCACACCTATCAGCTGATAGGTGTGGGATAGGGATCCTACACTTTTGTGCTTGCTGGGCCTTTGGCCTGGGACACCAGCCTCTTTTACTCTGCCTCCTCTCAGAATGTTATATACAGGGGGAGCTTTTAAGAATATTTCACAACAGGTGTGGGGCTCACAGGCTGAAGGGCACTGGCTGCAGCAGAGCCTGCAGTGAGCCAGGCTTCACTGTTTAGTTGCCAGGTCATTGGGGGGGTCCCAGGGAAGGGGCTGGGGGGCATGACATGGGGCTACCTGGGCTGTGCGTCCATCCAGACATATTAGAATAACCAGTTGGGCTGCACCATGGAGAACCAGTTGTCTCACCTAAGCTGACCTTGCTACCTGTGGGCTTTTGAAGGTGGGGCCCCCAGGCTGCTCACCTGCACGTCATAGTGAGCCATGAGGATGGCGAAGCTACTCAGGTGGTTGCATTGGCAGGTGGTACTGCCATTCCGGCTGCCCAGTATCTGGCAGCCCGTGGTGGCCCACTGCCCACCCCTGTTGTTGTCGTCTTTCCAGAAGGCACAGATCAGTTCCTGCCGTGTCTCAGGTGTCTTCCACTGTGGGCAGATGGGGGTGGTCAGAGAGGTTGGCCCGGAGCCCGCTCTTGGGTCCTGGGCTTGGGCTGACTGAGCCTGGGAGGGCTGCTTTCCACTGGACAAGTATTTACTGAGCAGCTACTGTGTGTACCAAGTTTGGGGATGCAGCAGTGAACAGGGTACACACAGTCCCTGCCCTTATGGGGCTGATATGCCAGTGGGGGAGACAGACAATAAGTTATAAACCTAACAAGTAACCTAGATAGTGTATTAGAAGGTAGTAAGTGCTATTAAAAAAAAACAAAGCAGGGGCTGGCCAATTAGCTCAGTTGGTTAGAGCTCAGCCTTAGAACATCAAGGTCGTGGGTTTGGATCACCATAATGGCCAAACACCGAAATAAACAAAAAACAGTATAGGTAAAAAGTGGGGAATAGTTACTTGTTATAATTTTAAATATCGAGGTCAAGGAAGGCGTAACTGACAAGGTGATATTTGAACAAGCCTGTGCTGAGTCACATGGGGAACAGTGTCTCAGGCAGAGGACACAGCATGTGCAAGGGCCCTGAGGTGTGTTTGAGAAAGGAGCAGAGTGGGCCACTGAGACCCCGGCTATGGGGTGAGCAGTAGGTCTGGTTCCCCCCTCCCCACCTGAGGACTCGAAAGGTGAGAGATGGCAAAGATGACGGGGTAGTCGAGTTTCTCGGTGTTTGTGTTGCTCAGAAAGACAGAGTTGACCGCCGAGAGGAGCTCGAGCTGGGCCCCACGGATGGGGCTTTCATGAATATCTTCCAGCTCAACTTGCTTCTCGTGGTCCAGGTCCAAGGAGGTGTTGGCCAGCAATTTCATCATGTTCGGGCTGGAGAGGATGCCCACCACGGTGGGGCCTGGGGGACAGACACACTTGCAGCTTCCTCCTGCCCTCTCTTCTCACGTTCCCCATCCTCCCTCCTAAGATGTCCCAATCTCTGCCAGGCCACTGTGATGCCTGGGATCCCTCCCGATGGTTCAGTTTCCAGTTGTTCTGTATTCTGAACCCCACCCTGGCCTTATTCTAGTGCCTCCTTCCCTCTCCCATGGTTCCTCCCTCCAGACCCCTGTCATTACCAGAGTCCCCAGCTCCAGCTGCCACAGCCCAGTTCAGCAGCATCCGTGCATGGCTCTGGCCTATGGTGACATTTTTGTCCCCCTGCTCCTGGATCAGCAGGGACAGCTCTGAGGGGAGACATGCAGTGATTAGGGGCACTGGGTATAGGGTAGAGGCTGGGGCTGGGGCAGGACAGGATGCGGCCTCACCTGTGCCTAAAGGGGAACGGTAGGTGAAGGAGCCATCAGGCAAGGTCTTGGCCAGGGTCCTCAGGACATTTTCGAGGCCTGAGAGCAGGTGGGTGGCCATGTGGTACCGGTCAGGTAGGGCCAGGGTCTCCATGTCCCCAGGGGCTGTCATCAGCTCATCCACTAAGTTGATGAGGTTCTAGGGGTGGTGGTGGGTGACAGAGGTGCTGGGTCACTGGACTACATGGGCTGCCTGAAGGACCTGAGTCTCACCCCCAACCAGAGGACACACTGGAGAGCTACCCGGTTACCTGCCTGGGGGACAGGCACAAGAGAATCACAGGAATGATGTAGGAGCCAGAAAACAAGTGAGAGGATCGAGTATATGCCTGTGTGCATGTATGTACAGTAATGACAGCGCTCAACATTGATCAGGCACAGACTGCCCGCCATGCTCTGTTCTAACTCTGCCCCATCCAGAATGGGTTGTAATGAGCCATGTGTGGCCATCGACCACTTGAAATGTGGTTGGACCTGCTTTGAAGCATCAGATTTCAAAGACTTTGGGGGAAAAAAAAAAAGAACATAAAACATGTCATTTTTTAATCATTTCATGTTGAAATAGCTAATATTTTGGGTCTATTGGGTTAAATGCAATCTTAACATTAATGTTACTTGTTCATTTTTACTTTTTAAAAATGTAGTTATTGGTAGGCTGGCCGGTTAACTTGGTTGGTTAGAGCACGGCCTTGTAACACCCAGGTCAAGGGTTCAGATCCCCATACTGGCCAGTCACCAGTCACACACACATAAAAAGTGTAGTTACTGGAAAATTTAAAATAACATGAAACGCCTCACATTATTCTACTGGGCTAAGTATATAGGCTTTTTTTTCTTTTTTGGTGGCAGGCCATTTTGGGGACCTGAACCCATGACTTTGGTGTTATAAGGCTCTAACCACTGAGAAAGTGGCCAGCCTAGTACAGCTGCTGAAACTTCTGCATAATGCTTACTATGTGTCAGACACTGTTCTTCCAGCCTTACTTCTATTAGTTCATTTAAACCTTCACACCAACTGTATGAAGCTGGCACCATATTCATGCCCATTTTACAGATGGGAAAACTGAGGCCCAGAGAGCGGGAGTCACATGCCTGAGGTCACACATCAAAAAGTGGCAGTGGGCTGTAGGGCGGGGGGTTTGTTTGAACGCCTGTGGCCATGCTCCAGGTTCTTAACTGCTCCACTCTTGCCTTTCTACCCTCGTGTGTGTCTGGGTGTGTATATCTGTGTTTGTGTAATGAGCACACATGTGGTGTGTGTATATTGTGTGCATGTGTGTCTTTGACCAGAGGCCCCTGCTTGGGTTGAGGGCTCTCTCCACCCACATTGAAGCACCGTCCAGCCACCCCCCACACCTCTTGAGGTCCCCGAGGGACCTGCCCTTACCTGGATGGTGTCCTTGGCTGAGTCTGGCTTGTAGTCTTTGCCTAAATCCTGGATTCTTTCAAAGAAGTGGGAAAGAGTCTGGGGAAAGGGGAGATGAACAGGTGAGAGAGCCTCACATGTGGGTGGGGAGCTTAGGGCAAAGGGCTGGGTGTGGTGCCGCCCAGAGGGATTTCCTGCCCACTGCTGCCTGCTTACCTGACTGTTGATTCCAGGGGGTGGGGTCCAGGTGGAGAAAGGGATCTCTGCAGGGGACAGGACAGCAGTTCATTAGGCCGAGTGTGTGTGTGTGTTGGGGTGGGGGAGGTTCTAGGGTCAGGTCAGGCCAGGTACCCTCACAGCAAGCGGTCATTTGGTTATTCTGGCTCCCATTTTGGGGATTCCAGCCTCGGTGGCAGCGGTACTAATAAAATCCCTGAGGTTGGGCCGGCCCGGTGGCACACTGCTACAGTGCGCCGCTTGGGAGCGCGGCGACACTCCTGCCGAGGGTTCGGATCCCACGTACAGACCGGCCGCTCACTGGCTGAGCGAGGTTCGGGCGCGACACCGAGGGTTGCGATCCCGTTGCCGGTCATGAAAAAAGACAGAAAGGAAAAAAAAAAAAAAAATCCCTGAGGTTGACGCAGAAGGAGGAGCTGTGGTACTGGTGCTGCCTGGAGCTGCACTCGTCCACATCTGGGACCAGAAGAAGGGGATCAGGCCCTGTCCCAGCCTGAATGAGGGTTCTCTGTCCTCTCTGTGCCCCACCCCTTCCTGCCTAGTATTTTTTTGGGGCGGGGGGGCAGCTGGCGGTATGGGGATCCGAACCTTGGGGTTATAAGGCTGCGCTCTAACCAACTGAGCTAACCAGCCAGCCCCACCTGCCTAGTATTAATGCCCTCCTTAGCTGGAGATGATACCACCTGGTGACCACACATCCTTGAGGGGTGGGCGCTGGGTTAAGAGAAGTGAGGAGAGGCCCGAGGCACAGCGGGTGGGCCCCGTACAGATGGCCGGTTGTGAAAACACTGAATACCCTCTTCCCAGCTAGGAATTAGTCACTGCCTGGGGTCCCCCTGAGGCTCACACTGGGTTCCCCCGCTCCTTCCCCAGGACCCCCAGATCTTTTCACATCCAGCCTCATTAGNGGTGGGGGCGGGCGGTGTCAGAGGCAGTCCCCGGCTGGAGCTCTCGGGTGGGCGTGGCTACTCGGGGAGGGGCGGTGCTAGGCTCTTTGAGGGCCCGCCCCCGACAACGCCCACGGAGGTAGACGGGGTCGGGGCGTGGCCTTTTGCCTCCAAAGCCAGCGCCCTAAAGGGACACCTCACCACGGTGGGCGGTGCCGCACACTTCCAGGGCGGGTCCACCTCACCCATCTAGCCCCTGGAGTAGGCGGGGCTACCCCACTCCTAGGCCTCGTTGATCAAGGGCTCAGGTGAGAGAGGGGCGGGGTCTTACCTGGCCGCCTTCGTTCTCGATGCCGGCCAGGAAGATAGCGGAGCCCACGAAGAGGCAGATGCAGAGATGCAGGTGCACGGTGGTGCGCGAGCCCTGGATGGGCCGCACCAGCAGGAAGGTGAGGATGCACAGCAGCAGGCAGACCAGCGAAAGCACCAGTCCCACCTTGGTGATCAGGGCCAACTTCGGGTCCTAGGAGCAGAACAGGGTGGGCGAGGTTTGAATAGGGCCCTGAGGCCTTACTGCCCTTGTGGTCTTTCTTTCCAACCCTCTAACGGGCTCACTTCTCTGACCTCTTCTTCTGCCCCTCCTACACCTGGCCACACCTATCAGCTGATAGGTGTGGGATAGGGATCCTACACTTTTGTGCTTGCTGGGCCTTTGGCCTGGGACACCAGCCTCTTTTACTCTGCCTCCTCTCAGAATGTTATATACAGGGGGAGCTTTTAAGAATATTTCACAACAGGTGTGGGGCTCACAGGCTGAAGGGCACTGGCTGCAGCAGAGCCTGCAGTGAGCCAGGCTTCACTGTTTAGTTGCCAGGTCATTGGGGGGGTCCCAGGGAAGGGGCTGGGGGGCATGACATGGGGCTACCTGGGCTGTGCGTCCATCCAGACATATTAGAATAACCAGTTGGGCTGCACCATGGAGAACCAGTTGTCTCACCTAAGCTGACCTTGCTACCTGTGGGCTTTTGAAGGTGGGGCCCCCAGGCTGCTCACCTGCACGTCATAGTGAGCCATGAGGATGGCGAAGCTACTCAGGTGGTTGCATTGGCAGGTGGTACTGCCATTCCGGCTGCCCAGTATCTGGCAGCCCGTGGTGGCCCACTGCCCACCCCTGTTGTTGTCGTCTTTCCAGAAGGCACAGATCAGTTCCTGCCGTGTCTCAGGTGTCTTCCACTGTGGGCAGATGGGGGTGGTCAGAGAGGTTGGCCCGGAGCCCGCTCTTGGGTCCTGGGCTTGGGCTGACTGAGCCTGGGAGGGCTGCTTTCCACTGGACAAGTATTTACTGAGCAGCTACTGTGTGTACCAAGTTTGGGGATGCAGCAGTGAACAGGGTACACACAGTCCCTGCCCTTATGGGGCTGATATGCCAGTGGGGGAGACAGACAATAAGTTATAAACCTAACAAGTAACCTAGATAGTGTATTAGAAGGTAGTAAGTGCTATTAAAAAAAAACAAAGCAGGGGCTGGCCAATTAGCTCAGTTGGTTAGAGCTCAGCCTTAGAACATCAAGGTCGTGGGTTTGGATCACCATAATGGCCAAACACCGAAATAAACAAAAAACAGTATAGGTAAAAAGTGGGGAATAGTTACTTGTTATAATTTTAAATATCGAGGTCAAGGAAGGCGTAACTGACAAGGTGATATTTGAACAAGCCTGTGCTGAGTCACATGGGGAACAGTGTCTCAGGCAGAGGACACAGCATGTGCAAGGGCCCTGAGGTGTGTTTGAGAAAGGAGCAGAGTGGGCCACTGAGACCCCGGCTATGGGGTGAGCAGTAGGTCTGGTTCCCCCCTCCCCACCTGAGGACTCGAAAGGTGAGAGATGGCAAAGATGACGGGGTAGTCGAGTTTCTCGGTGTTTGTGTTGCTCAGAAAGACAGAGTTGACCGCCGAGAGGAGCTCGAGCTGGGCCCCACGGATGGGGCTTTCATGAATATCTTCCAGCTCAACTTGCTTCTCGTGGTCCAGGTCCAAGGAGGTGTTGGCCAGCAATTTCATCATGTTCGGGCTGGAGAGGATGCCCACCACGGTGGGGCCTGGGGGACAGACACACTTGCAGCTTCCTCCTGCCCTCTCTTCTCACGTTCCCCATCCTCCCTCCTAAGATGTCCCAATCTCTGCCAGGCCACTGTGATGCCTGGGATCCCTCCCGATGGTTCAGTTTCCAGTTGTTCTGTATTCTGAACCCCACCCTGGCCTTATTCCAGTGCCTCCTTCCCTCTCCCATGGTTCCTCCCTCCAGACCCCTGTCATTACCAGAGTCCCCAGCTCCAGCTGCCACAGCCCAGTTCAGCAGCATCCGTGCATGGCTCTGGCCTATGGTGACATTTTTGTCCCCCTGCTCCTGGATCAGCAGGGACAGCTCTGAGGGGAGACATGCAGTGATTAGGGGCACTGGGTATAGGGTAGAGGCTGGGGCTGGGGCAGGACAGGATGCGGCCTCACCTGTGCCTAAAGGGGAACGGTAGGTGAAGGAGCCATCAGGCAAGGTCTTGGCCAGGGTCCTCAGGACATTTTCGAGGCCTGAGAGCAGGTGGGTGGCCATGTGGTACCGGTCAGGTAGGGCCAGGGTCTCCATGTCCCCAGGGGCTGTCATCAGCTCATCCACTAAGTTGATGAGGTTCTAGGGGTGGTGGTGGGTGACAGAGGTGCTGGGTCACTGGACTACATGGGCTGCCTGAAGGACCTGAGTCTCACCCCCAACCAGAGGACACACTGGAGAGCTACCCGGTTACCTGCCTGGGGGACAGGCACAAGAGAATCACAGGAATGATGTAGGAGCCAGAAAACAAGTGAGAGGATCGAGTATATGCCTGTGTGCATGTATGTACAGTAATGACAGCGCTCAACATTGATCAGGCACAGACTGCCCGCCATGCTCTGTTCTAACTCTGCCCCATCCAGAATGGGTTGTAATGAGCCATGTGTGGCCATCGACCACTTGAAATGTGGTTGGACCTGCTTTGAAGCATCAGATTTCAAAGACTTTGGGGGAAAAAAAAAAAGAACATAAAACATGTCATTTTTTAATCATTTCATGTTGAAATAGCTAATATTTTGGGTCTATTGGGTTAAATGCAATCTTAACATTAATGTTACTTGTTCATTTTTACTTTTTAAAAATGTAGTTATTGGTAGGCTGGCCGGTTAACTTGGTTGGTTAGAGCACGGCCTTGTAACACCCAGGTCAAGGGTTCAGATCCCCATACTGGCCAGTCACCAGTCACACACACATAAAAAGTGTAGTTACTGGAAAATTTAAAATAACATGAAACGCCTCACATTATTCTACTGGGCTAAGTATATAGGCTTTTTTTTCTTTTTTGGTGGCAGGCCATTTTGGGGACCTGAACCCATGACTTTGGTGTTATAAGGCTCTAACCACTGAGAAAGTGGCCAGCCTAGTACAGCTGCTGAAACTTCTGCATAATGCTTACTATGTGTCAGACACTGTTCTTCCAGCCTTACTTCTATTAGTTCATTTAAACCTTCACACCAACTGTATGAAGCTGGCACCATATTCATGCCCATTTTACAGATGGGAAAACTGAGGCCCAGAGAGCGGGAGTCACATGCCTGAGGTCACACATCAAAAAGTGGCAGTGGGCTGTAGGGCGGGGGGTTTGTTTGAACGCCTGTGGCCATGCTCCAGGTTCTTAACTGCTCCACTCTTGCCTTTCTACCCTCGTGTGTGTCTGGGTGTGTATATCTGTGTTTGTGTAATGAGCACACATGTGGTGTGTGTATATTGTGTGCATGTGTGTCTTTGACCAGAGGCCCCTGCTTGGGTTGAGGGCTCTCTCCACCCACATTGAAGCACCATCCAGCCACCCCCCACACCTCTTGAGGTCCCCGAGGGACCTGCCCTTACCTGGATGGTGTCCTTGGCTGAGTCTGGCTTGTAGTCTTTGCCTAAATCCTGGATTCTTTCAAAGAAGTGGGAAAGAGTCTGGGGAAAGGGGAGATGAACAGGTGAGAGAGCCTCACATGTGGGTGGGGAGCTTAGGGCAAAGGGCTGGGTGTGGTGCCGCCCAGAGGGATTTCCTGCCCACTGCTGCCTGCTTACCTGACTGTTGATTCCAGGGGGTGGGGTCCAGGTGGAGAAAGGGATCTCTGCAGGGGACAGGACAGCAGTTCATTAGGCCGAGTGTGTGTGTGTGTTGGGGTGGGGGAGGTTCTAGGGTCAGGTCAGGCCAGGTACCCTCACAGCAAGCGGTCATTTGGTTATTCTGGCTCCCATTTTGGGGATTCCAGCCTCGGTGGCAGCGGTACTAATAAAATCCCTGAGGTTGGGCCGGCCCGGTGGCACACTGCTACAGTGCGCCGCTTGGGAGCGCGGCGACACTCCTGCCGAGGGTTCGGATCCCACGTACAGACCGGCCGCTCACTGGCTGAGCGAGGTTCGGGCGCGACACCGAGGGTTGCGATCCCGTTGCCGGTCATGAAAAAAGACAGAAAGGAAAAAAAAAAAAAAAATCCCTGAGGTTGACGCAGAAGGAGGAGCTGTGGTACTGGTGCTGCCTGGAGCTGCACTCGTCCACATCTGGGACCAGAAGAAGGGGATCAGGCCCTGTCCCAGCCTGAATGAGGGTTCTCTGTCCTCTCTGTGCCCCACCCCTTCCTGCCTAGTATTTTTTTGGGGCGGGGGGGCAGCTGGCGGTATGGGGATCCGAACCTTGGGGTTATAAGGCTGCGCTCTAACCAACTGAGCTAACCAGCCAGCCCCACCTGCCTAGTATTAATGCCCTCCTTAGCTGGAGATGATACCACCTGGTGACCACACATCCTTGAGGGGTGGGCGCTGGGTTAAGAGAAGTGAGGAGAGGCCCGAGGCACAGCGGGTGGGCCCCGTACAGATGGCCGGTTGTGAAAACACTGAATACCCTCTTCCCAGCTAGGAATTAGTCACTGCCTGGGGTCCCCCTGAGGCTCACACTGGGTTCCCCCGCTCCTTCCCCAGGACCCCCAGATCTTTTCACATCCAGCCTCATTAGAACTAACGCCTGGCACAGCAGGGCGCCTCCAGCGTTCATCCTGCTTTTTTGTGTGGGTGCCATTGAACATGCGATCAGGTGTTGGACTGTGGGTCCCCAGGGATGTGGGATTTGAGCTCTGGACCTTCGCAGACGGTGTTGTTTGAGCCATCGGGGGACCCAGGAACTGGCCTCCAGCCTCGGTGGCAGCGGCACTTGTAGGATCCCTGAGTGTTGATGCAGAAGGTGGAGCTGTGGCACTGGTGCTGCCCGGAGCTGCACTCGTCCACATCTGGAACCAGAAGAAGAGGATCAGGCCCCATCCTAGCCCGGGTGAGGATTTTCTCTCCTCTCCGTGCCCCACTACTTCCTGCCTGGTATTAATGCCTCCCCCCCATTGGCTGGAGGTGATACCACCTGGTGACCACACATCCTTGAGGGGTACACGTTGGGTTAAGAGAAGTGAGGAGAGGCCCGAGGCACAGCGGGTGGGCCCCGTACAGGTGGCCGGTTGTGAAAACACTGAATACCCTCTTCCCAGCTAGGAAGCCGCTGCCTGGGGTCCCCCTGAGGCTCCCACTGGGTTCCCCAACTCCTTCCCCAGGACCCCCAGATCTTTTCACATCCAGCCTCATTAGAACTAACGCCTGGCACAGCAGGGCGCCTCCAGCGTTCATCCTGCTTTTTTGTGTGGGTGCCATTGAACATGCGATCAGGTGTTGGACTGTGGGTCCCCAGGGATGTGGGATTTGAGCTCTGGACCTTCGCAGACGGTGTTATTTGGGCCATTGGGGGACCTGGGGACCGGCTTCCAGCCGGGGCGGCAGCGGCACTCATAGCTGCCCACTTTGTTGAGGCAGTGGGTTGAGCTGTGACACGGATTTTGTCCTGAGGTGCATTCGTTCACATCTGAGGACAAACAGAGGGTCAAACCCTGCCCTCGCTGGCTCAGCCCCGTCCACACATTCCACACACCTCCCCATCTTCTCACTGTCCCCAACTATTGCCTGTGCTAACACCTGGTGACCTTCAACTTCACCTTCAAAGCACCCTGTGGTGGCCTCCCTACAAGATGGGCACAGCAGGGATCATGGTCCCCTGTTTCTAAGAGGTGATACCAGGAGGGAGACCGAGTCAGGGGGCTGAACTTCCTGACTGAGGACGCTCGCCTGCTCCTTGCCTGGCTATGGCTGAGGTTCCCCTTCTCAGAGCTGGAAATGACACTTTCTTCTACTCCTACATGACAGGTGAGGAAGGGGTGAAGTTGGGGGCTCCACAAGGGCATCCCAGGCCCAGGACGACCTGCCACCCCTCTGCCCTGTGGCAGGACCTTCCTCGAAGGTGAGTCCTTAGACAGGTCTCAGCAGACCTTTGCCCTTGTGGGAACCTGAGATCTTTTCCTTTCTCCTTGGGCTGCAAGACCCGCCTCGGTTCCATCCCCAGCTCCAGTCCAGCCACACGGCGTCTTCCTGGGGCCTCTACCTGAGCACAGCTTTGGGTCCTCCGGTTTGAGCTCAAAGCCAGGCAGGCACTGGCATTTGTAGCTGCCCTGGGTGTTGATGCAGATGCCATGGCTTGTACAGACTCTGCGGTTCTGCTGACATTCGTCCACGTCTGCAAGAGGAAGGAGAGGGTGAAGATGCTCACATCTGTGGGCAGCCTTTTGGGTTGGAGTCGGCCTGTTTCTTGGCACAGAAGCATCCAGAAGGTGCCACTGTCTCCTCCCTTTTTCATTTGCACAGAGGCATCCCATGGTGAGCATGGTGCCCCAGACACTCTGTTGTGCAGAGGTGGCTGGAAGTGGCCTGAGTCCTCCCAGCTCCTCTGCTTCCCTGGCAGCTCCCAGCTGGGGTGAGGACATCACAGCCACCTGTGTCCCACCTGAAGATTCAGAGCAAAGGCCAGTGTGGGCCTTCCTGGGAGCCAAGTGCAGGGAAAATGCTGCATTCCCCAGAAGGACGTGTCTTGACTCCCAGTGGTGGCCTTTGGCTTGATTACCCCAGAGCTGTTCTCTGGCCAAGTTCTCCATGGAATCCTGCGACCCTCGCAGGACAGCACTCTCCCATCCATGCTAACTCTGAGAGCCCAGCTCCATGCAGATGGGCAAAGACATGCCCCTGAGCCAGTCCCCCCAAAGATGAAACTCAAAGGTTGGCGTGGGGAGAGTGAGGACAATGCCAGACAGGCCAGAGCTGCATGGACAGTGGCCACTAGCAGAGGTAGACAGGGTGGCTGACATCCAGCCAGGTAGCCCTGGGGCCACAGAGGTGGCTTTTTCTGATCCCCATGAAGGCGTCCCATGGACATGGCAGGAAGTGCTGAGAATCCTCATCTGAGCAAGGCCAGCCGTCGGCGATGGCTCCATGGCTAGAGAGGGGAGCAGGTGCTGAAGGGGAGGGGTGGCAGGAGTTTCTGTCATCTCTTCCCTTCTCATTTCATCAAGGACGCAGATCTGTGGGCCCCACTGAGTGGGGCTCAGCCTCCACCTTCTATCCCCAAGTGTCCAGCCCTGGGTTGACTTCCTCAGGAGACAGTGGGCCTGGGGCAGTGGTCCCCAGTGACAGCCTCTCTTGCTGTCTGGTCCAGGCCGGAGACTCTTCCTTCACCCAATTCTCTGAGCAGGTTTGGGGGTCAATGTCATTCTGCCCCAACATTCTCTTAAGCCTCAGTCATTGGAGCTGTCCTCAGGCCCGTGAACTTAAATTACTGGGGAGGGTCAGGGTGGAGCCTTGGGTGGGGACGTGGATGGAGGCTGAGTGGCCGAGAAGGGCATCAGGGCGCCAGGAAGCATCTTCTCCAAGCGGGGTTGTTGGCTGGGCACGGTGGGCATGCCCTCCTCCTGAGTTTCTGGATGGGGTTCCCGGGTCCATCATGGCTTGGGGGGCGGGGCGGCAACAGAGAGATTCCAGGGATGGCTGAGCCCCTGTGGGGCAGGTTCCATTCTGGCTGTTGCTGACAGTATCAGAGAACAGAGATTGGGCTGGAGTGCACCATGCTGTGAGCTCTCGAAGTATCTTGAATACCAGCTCCCTTTTTGTTTTATACAATAAAATCCTAGATGGGCAGGAGGTCTTCTGAGTTTGCAGAAGTGTCCCGCCATAGAGGATTCTGAACAACCAGCATCCTGGATGGCCCTCTGATGCCTGGAGAAAGTGGGCCAAGAAGCCGATGAAGCAGTCCCAGGTGTCCTGCCATCATAGGCCCCATGGGCTGCGACACAGGTGGACATGTTCTTGGGTGCAGCAAGGCCAGACTGCTGATGGTAAAGGGAGGCATGCAGACAGGACTGGGCTGAGCCCCTCACTGAGATGGTTCCTAAGGTGGTAGGTCCTGCTCCAAACCAGCAGGCTGCTCTGTCCCTGTCACCTGCCTTGCGGTCTGTGGGGGCCCCTCTGTCACTTCATTCCTGCTATCCATGTCTCTGCCCAGCTGCCTGACTGAGCCCCCTCTCCCAGCCCTGGCCTGCTTCTCAAACAGCAGCACACCTGCCCAATAGCCACAACCACTGCCTCATGTCAGGGGCTCACAGCAGTGGGAGGGCGGCACCCCCAGCCAGGGCGCACCGAGAGGACTCCATGGTCACATGGACAGTTGTGCAGGTTGTTCACTGCACAAAGGTGTCAGTCCAAGCGGGTAAGTGGGGGGCTAAAGACCAGTCTGCTCTCTGTTTGCCAAATGTGGCTGTGTCCACCTGGAGAGGAGGGGCCGTCTTCCCAATTCACATGAAGACTCTGTCCTCTGGCCAAGCCACATGCCTGCGGCACAGTGTCCACCCAGAGGGGACCCCTGTGGACCGGCAGTGTGGTTGATGGAGGCCTCCAGCAGGGCTCCATGCAGGTGCATGTCCCCAGTACATGTATCTCTTCCCTATCCCCCTGTCCATCCCTCCCTCTGCCTTCCTCTGCTTTCTCTCCACACACAGGGCAGGAGGGACAGGGCTGGGAACTGGGCCACAGGCCTTTTCCTCTCTGCAGCGGGACAGGCCTGTTGACCTTCCTGAGTCCCCTTGGACTCAGCCTCAGCCTCCTCACCTCCCAACTCTACTCCCCTCCCCTCTCTAATCTCTGTGCTTTGCACCAATCCCCTCTCTCTGGGTGAGTTGTGGCTGCCACCCACCCGCTGCTGGCTCTTATCTGCTTCTGTGGATGCCTGAGTCCCCCTTCCCTGCCCAACTGGCTCCTCCTGGAGAAAAAGCAAAGCCTGGTGCTGCATGGAGGCCCAGCTCCTCCTGGGCCCAAAATGTGGCATCAAGCAAGATCACAGCAAGGTGGGTGGCTGCTATGCACCTGCTCTCCGAGCGCCCACCCTGTGGATGCCCATCCTAGAGAGGGTGTGTCAAATCATAGAAATTATAATAAAAAAGCCCAACAGCCATCACAGGTATAGTGCTTTCTGTGAGCCAGAAACCGTCAAGTGCCTTTGTGAGCTCACTTACCTTCACGTCAATCCTATGAACTAACCTCCATTAGTACTCCCCTTTTACAGATGGGTAAACTGAGGCACCGAGAGGTGAAGTAACTTGTCGGAGGTCACACAGTGAACAAAAAGCAAAGCTACTTTTGTTTTTAACTTTACAATATAGGGACTCTTTATATAGACAGGTAAGTAGATATTAAATCACGGTAATATTGGCACATCTCACACATTGACAGTGATTTCTAAATAAGTATCCTGGCCAATGGCATGCACACAGCTACCAGAATTTGGACCCAGGCAGTTGTTCCCAGAGTCTGTCCTTGGCCATCATGCCACCTGCCTCTCTGCAGATGGGATAGGTACGTGCACACCTGTCCCATCTCAGACCCAAGGCACTGAACCTACAACCAGGTTCTGTCCCCTGGATGCTGCAGGAATGACTCTGGTGACCCCAAACCTCATAGACAGGGAGATGGAGGACATGGGTTGGTTCTCACCTTGACACGTGTTCTCACTCTCATTCCTGAACGTTTTTGCCCCAGAAACGAGCCCATATCCTGGGCTGCATGTGCAGTAGTAGCTTCCCTCTGTGTTATGACAGTCTGCGAGTTTTCCACAGGACACGCTTGTGGGTGGTCCACACTCATTGATGTCTGGAACACGACAGGGCAAAGGGTCACCTCCCAAAGGCGTGAGCTGTCTCAGGGCAGAGACCCCCATCCCTTACCTGACTCCCCAGCATGGGGCCTGATACTTAGTATCTTTTGGCGAGAACTAGGCTGCCCTGCTGAGGCTGCGCTGCAGCTGGAGCAAGCCATTCCTGAAGGCCACTCAATCAGCTCTGCTCATCTCACTTCTCTGGTTGACATCTTAGATTTGGACACCGTGGACAGTGCTGAGGTGGGGGTTGGGCAGGAAGTTCACATCCCCCTCCCCAGTGCTCAAAGGACAAGCTGAGGCACAGATGACACACTCCCGGGGCATGTGTAGCTCCCTCTCTCCAGCAGCCATGCTCACTCTTACTTCTCCACCTCTATATCTTTTCCTTCTCTTCTCTCTGCCCATGATGACAGTCCTGAGGCCAAGGGCTGTGGCTCCCAAGTGCCACCCTCATCCCCACTGGCACTAGAAAATGCCCCATAATCCCTGTTGTGCCCCTGTGCGGCCCCCACATTCTGTACCATCACAAGGCTCCGAGGGGCTGATGATGATCTTCCCAGACACAGACACGAATCCTGGATTGCAGCGACAGGCGGTGGCATTGACACACGTGGAGTTTGGAAGACACCGGGCACAGGCTGTGGTGGCAGAGACCGTGATCAGAAAGTGAGGACAAAGCCAGGGCCCCTTCCCCAGGCTCTGGCTGTGGACCGTGCTGCTCCCAGCAGACTCACCTGTATGGCTCTGGGCTTCACCTCCTGCCAGGGTGAGCAAGACACACAGTGCTGCAACACAGAGAGGGTGGGGTCAGAGGGGACCCCAGAACAGGGGAAGGAGGGCTAATGGCCATGCACTTGAGGGAAGGGGGCTGCTGATGCCTCCTGAGCTCAGACCCTGCCCATTGCTCAAAGAGAGAGCCCAGGTGGCACCTCCCCAGGCTTTGATGCTCACGGCCAGAGGGTCTGTCATGTGTCACCTCAGGGGTGGGTTTCAGGAACTGGGAGGTGGGGTGGGGAACCTGAGCCTAGCGGGGGTCTCAGCTCCAGCTGCCACCTTTCCTGACCTGTGGGCTGTGAGCAGCAGCTCAGGACACAGACCGGAGGCAGGTGGCCCCAGTTCAAATCCTGGACCATGGGTGGGTTACCTCACCACTCTCTGCCTCAGTTTCCCTTCTGTGGTGTGAGGGTGGTGATGGTACCCACTTCCTAAAGTAGCGTGGGAATGAACCACGTGAGTGCCTGGTGTGCGTGCATGTTTACCATTGTCGTCATTCCTTTAGGTAAAAGTGAACGGGTTGGACCAGGTGCTCGCGCAGATCCCCCAGTTCTAAGATGCTTCGGCCCCTGCACCCTTCCTCAGGCACACAGGTGCACACACGACACCCACAGCTGCCAACAGTCCCAGCAGCCCGTCCTGGGACCCAGTGGTGACATTTCACCTGGGTCTCCCCCCCACACACACAGGAAGAGACTGTGGGCTCGTGTGGGGTTTGTGCTAAACAGGCCCCTCCCCCACTGCTGTTCCCGCTGCTCAGGGGGTGCCCGACTCCCAGGACAGGTCCTGGGGGTCCTCCTCAAGTCACCAGGGGCTTTAGAGAGGACGACCTTCTTGCCGTTCACCAGAGAGAGACAGACAAGGAGAAAGAGGTGCAGAGAAAATAAAGAGATGACAGAGAGACAGAGAGAGGCAGAAGTTAAGACAGTTATAGGGAGGGATGGACAGACAGACGAGGAACCCATAGAAAGAGAGAGAGAGACAGGAGTGATAGGACAGAGGGACACAGAGCGCGAGAGATACACAGACAGCATGAGAGAGGGAGGGAGAAGTGATTAGAAAGGAGGCGGGTGGAGGCAGGAGGGGCAAGGCCGGGCGGGGAGGACGCCACAGCAGCTGGAAACACAGGGGAAGCGGCTCACCAACCCACTAACCCAGAGAGACCCGAGGGGGGTGTCGGGCAGAGGGATGGGGGACCAGAGGGCCGGTGTGTGTGAGTCACTTCCTGGACCAAGGAAAAGGGATGACTCACCACTCAGTCACCCCAATTTGACCCTAAAAGGGGCTCGTAGGGGAATTCTGGGGTCGGTCATTGTGAGCACGATTAGGGGTGCTGTTAGGGGGGTGCAGACTGGAGGTCCCCAGACCACTCAGTCTGTATCCAAACTTGGAACCCCTCAGGCTGGTGGAGGGCAAAGACCCTCTCCTGTACACCCTCTAGCTAGGGTAAACTGAGGCTGGAATGCCCCCACCCAATCCCTGCCCCGCTGTGATGTCAGGATTCCTCTCTTCCTCCTCTCTGGGCACAGGGCTTGGCTAGCTCCCCTTGCCGCCAAGACCCAGTTCCTCTTGGACAGACCGCAAAATGACCTTCCTTTGCAGGATGGGACCTAAGCCCATTCGTCCCCAGCTTCCAAAGCCCCAAATAACTCTGTTAATGCTCAGAACCACCCTAGGAGGTGGGGGCTGTGATAATGTCCATTCAACAGATGTGGAAACTGAGGCTCAGAGCCCAGAAAGTGTTCAGGAAGAATCTAGTAAACAGAGGGAGGCTGGGGAAGGTGGAATCGAGGGACTGAGGTCCTCGGGCCCTGGGGAGGGCTCCTTTGTCCCCCGGCCCCTCCTCCTGGGCTGGGCTGGGCTCTCCGCCCCCACCACTAGGCTTCTGGGCCTGGCCACCTCCATCTGGGGCCTTGGAAGTTGCCCAAACAGGAGCCGGGAGAGGAGCTGCTGTTCTGTCTGCTCCCAGACCCATCTGGTTTGCATTCCTTGGCCGAGCCCTGAGCCCTGAGATTCCTGCTGAGGAACTCTGGGGTGGCAGTGGGGCAGTCCTCCTGCTAAGGACCCCCCAGACTACTCCCCAGACCCGCCAGCATCTTACCAGAAAGAGTTTATTATTAATAATTAACTATCATTTACTTCCTTCTTATTGTGAAGCAGGAATAGTTTGTGTACTAATTCACTAGACCCTTAAAACAACCCTCTGAGATGGAGACTGGTATTGCCCCATTTTACAGATGAGAAAAGTGAGTCTCTGGGGCTCTGTGACACAGCCAGGCAGGGCCTGAATGTAGCTCAGAACCACCCAGAAGCCAGGCCTTGGCAGGTGCCCCCCACCTTGGCAGCGCCTCCCAAGCCCAGGGGGCGCTGAGCTGCCACCTATCACCCGGGGATGGCACAGGGACTTCCCTGTGGTCTGGGCAGCTCTGGTTTCCTCCCCAAATGCCATTTCTTCACTGTCTTTGTTGCCCCGTTGCTCAGGCAACTAGGTGCCCCGACAGATGACAGATAACCGTTAGAGGCACCCTGGGTGGGGCGGGAAAGGGGGGAAGTCACGACAAAAGACAAGTTCAAACCCATTGCCCTGCAAAATCCCCTCAACCCACAGCCGAGTCCCAGCCAGGGCTGGGGGAGTGAGAATGGAGGGTCTCTGGGGCTGCCCCTGCTGCTGAGACAGTGGGGGACAAATTGGGGGCACCCCACAGTGGAGGGGTCTCAGCCACCAACTCCCCAACACCTCCGATGATCTATATTAACAGCAACTGCCTGTGGGGTCCCAGCTTTCACTTTTTGTCCCCTTTCCTTCCCCTGTACCTCAGTTTCCCCTTATAGAAAGCAGCCTCCAAATTGGCTCCTACAGAGAGCTTGAAGACCCCTCCAGGCAGGGGAGCATGCTCCTAGAGCACGCTGGGGTTCCTGCTGGGGTACGTGGGTGCCCGGGCACTGCCAGTTCCTCTCCCCATGTCCCCACGGCTGCCCGTCTGACCATGTGTTTTCCTCCTCCTGCCCCAGAGCCACCAGTGTGACCTCCCATTTCTCAGCTGCGGCCAAAGGGTCCTGCAGGGGGTCCCTTTCTCCTCCTGTCAGAGCCCCAAAGTTCTTACCGAGAAAGACGCTGTGGTGGGAGCCTCCCATGATCCCAGCTGCTGGCAGAAGTGAGGGGAAGTAGGGGGTGGGACAGGGCTGTCCCGTCTCTCTGGGCTAGGCAGCTGTGTGGGCTGTCTCGAGGCCAGGCCTTTATGAAGGGGGGCGGGGGGGCAGATGCTGGTGCAGGGCCCTCCCCGGAACTGGTGGGGCAGCTGAAAGCCAACAGGAAGATGAAGTGGAAACACAGACCCAGGCCACTGCACACACACACACATGCACGCACGCGCGACACACACACACACACACACACACACACACACACACACACTGGACTGCTCAGTGGGAATGAGGTGCCACCTGCTTTCAAATCCTCTGTCAGCGGTTCCACTGTTTGAGCCTCTGACAAATTCTCTGCCCCTGTGTGCACAGGCTGGCTGGCTGCATCAGAGGGGAAAGTGGGGACAGCGAGGTGGGGGAGTCTTGCCCAGGACCTGCTTGGCTCTTCTCAGGGGGGTAGGCACTGGGCGGGGGTGGGGGCCGCGTCAGAAATAGCTCCAGGCTCCCACGCTGGGGCCCACACTCTCCTCAAAACCTTTGCTCACCTGAGTCGCCAGTGCCAGTATCTGAGCCAACAGTACCTTCCCCTCCTGTGCTTCAGATAAGTAAACTGAGGCACAGAGAGGCCAGTTTCCAAATAGGATCCAGGCGAGGGCAAAGGGGCCCTTTCAGGAATGCCAGGCAGGCACCAGGAAGAGAAACTTCAGGGCACAGGGCCACCACGCTCCTGGAGCTGGCCTTTCTGGGCCAGTTTCCCCTGGTGGGAAACATTTTAGGGGCTCGTAGGCACCTCATTAAGCAACCTCGAGAATCCCATGATACGAGAGTTGTTTCCTTTTCGAATAAATCACATGACTGGCTTGTCTCTCGAGCCATCTAGAAAAGTTTTAAAAACACTGTTATTTATAAAGTGCTTAATCTGTGCCAGGCCCATCTTAACTGCTTTACATCTTTTAACTCATTTATTCCTCAAAACATTTTGGGGGCTGGTGCTGTTGTGAATCTCACCTTATAGGGGAGGAAACTAAGGCACAGGTGACTCACATGGCTAACAGGATGCCAAATTTGTCCACAGGCAGCCAGCGCAGCCCTGAGCCCCTGCAATGAGCCCAAGGCCCAGGAGAAAGTCTCTACTGGGTACTAATGTGTCTTTAACGCCTTGGTGATCCTGAGGCTTAGCAGGCAACTGTATCCAGCTAGAATTCAAGGTATCAACACCTCCGAGCTCTAACCAACTGAGCTAACCAGCCAGTCCAGAATTTTGGTTTTTATACCAGAAAGCTGCGAGCCCCAGGGCTCAATGCCCGCTCCCCCGCAGATGGCAGGTCACATAGCTGGAGGCACTTCACACTGTCTGGGGCGTTGTTCCCACACTGCTCCACGTTAATCATCAACCCCCTTGCCTTCTCCTCCCTTGGACATGCCTTGGGCTCTTGGAGCAGGTCTAGCCTCCCCAGGACTCAGTTTTCCTGTCTGTTGAATGGGGATTAAAATGCCTGACCCACTGGCCTCACAGGGCAGGGTGAGAAAGGAACAGGGTAAACTAGGAGATGTTTGCAGCACGCTTGGGGAAGGCATGAAGAGGGACGTCCCCTCCATCACCCCCACCACCCCATAAGCTGTCCTGTCAGCAGTTCCTGTGGCTCTTCCTTCACACGGACCCACCCAGAATCTTCCTACTTCTCCTCACCGGCGCCAACCCTGGTTAGCTCCATCATCTCCCGACCTAGTGCCCCAGCTCCCACCCCCCACACTCTGCTCCCCTGTGTGCATCTGGGCCAGGGCTTGCCCCTCTTCTGCTCAAGAACCCACCATGGCTCCCACTTCACTCAGAGAAACACCCCAAGTCCTCCCTGTGGCCCCCAGC